GATGGATGGATGGATGGATATATTAATCTACATATTTTTTTAAAAAGGAGCAACAGAAGAAACTTTTTTTGTTCTCTTGACAAACTACTGTCTCTAAAGTGAAGGCTGGCAGCCACGACACAGTCACCAGTGTTTTTTTTTTAACCCTTTTAAAACTCTACTTCCTACCAGCTGATCAAAGAATCAAACGTCCAATGTGACACAAAAAGATGATTCATATATTGAGTTGAATGTAGAATCCGTCTCTAAAATAGATACGAAAGTGTTTATTTATGTAGTTTAAAATATGTTTAACAACCTGTAAATACAGCAGAATGCAGGAAACAGCACCTACTTCATTCAAACTTTTCTGGGGGAGAACACCCCTCCCACGTTGGGGTTATGATGGCAACTAGCAGCAAATATAAATATAATAGTACTCATGTGAAAGAAATAATAACTGTAAAATCAAAAAGAAAAGGTGGGACTGAGAAGGTGAGGAGTATAAGCAACATTTACATTTAATAAACATCCAGAAGCTATTTTTAAAAGAAAAAACAGATTTTGGAGGCTTGCAGATTAAATTTGTTCAGTATGTACTCAATTTATTTCTTGACTAATCAAAAGTACAATATTTGTTCTTTTCCTGATTTCATTTTAACTTTACCTATAATTTACATTTTATTCTTGTCATTTTATCTAACATTTATTTTTATATGCAGCATTTCCCCAGACTCCATGTTTTGTTCTTGTTTACAATAAAGTTTTTATAAAAACACAGACACCCAACAGTGCTTTTTAACTGTATTATAAACAAAATGTGCAGTTTGTTGAACACAGAGCACATTGTGAGCTGAGCAGGATGTATTTTTAAGTTTGAGCCTCTCTAGAATCTAACTTGGACGATAATTTTGAGCTGCTGATACGATAATTCAACATTTCCCATCTGGCAACAGTGTTTTAGACTGAGTTTTATTAAAATCTGTCTCATGTTCATGTGTTCACACAGACTCAAGGCTAAATTAGCTGAGTTTTAAAACCACTTCTTCAAACGCTGCTGCATCACCGTGATGCTGGTGTAGATCTACTCTGTGGAAAATTAAAATTAACTCAAAACTGTGGGTTTAATGTTTGCAGTTTCTGTCATCCAGTGTCCAAAGTTTCATCTGTCAATCACATGTCCCGGTGTCCAAAGGAAGAACACTCTCACGTGCGCGATTTAAGCTAGCTTTTTTAAAAATCCGTTTTACAACAACTATTTACAAATAACCAAACTTGGCAGATGCTGCTTTGCTACATTAACGCAGTGTTTAGTTACTACAAAGAATTAACTATTCAATTTTTTTTTTACGTTATCTCAACCTGAATATCTTCTGCGTCTCGCTCCACCGAAAAAAGGGCGATTAGCTTAGCAAGGATAAAATAAAATAAAAAAAACAATCTACAGGTTTACAAAACACCAATCCGTAAACCACACATGTAAATGAACCGGTACAATCTATTTAAAACAATTACTCTTATACCAACCTGTAGTTCAGAAGAATAATCCACGGCATGTTGTTCCTGTGATCTTGCCGGTGGTGAACTTCTTACATCGTGGAAACGGAAAAGACTAACGAGTGAAGCATCATGTTCGAAGATCTTTTATTTTCCGGGGAAAAAAAAAAAAAACTTCTTCGTTTCTTTCACGAGGAGCAGTGATGGCGCAACAGCGCCACCAACTGGTGAAAAAAAAGTGACCCTGGCTTCCAGGACTGCATATCTCCCGCCGCCTTTTTATTACCAGAGTTTTAGATTATGTGATTTTACATAAGATTATGTATTAGGGATGATGCTCAGCTATTGCCACGTCAAATTTTAGATGAATTGACTAAACTACATTTTGTTATGTTTGCTAAAGTCAGTTGACTGTGCCCGTCATTTAGTTGTTGACTGACTTAAAAATGTAATTAAATGTAGATGTATCCAAAGATTCCTTTATGCAMGTTTTAAAAAATTATGCAGTGCTTCATGAGATATTTAGCTAAGAGACAGGCACATGAACAGCTAAGGCAGGCTTTTATTTATGCTATGGTGCCTTGCAAAATAATGTATGCACCCCATCTCTTTTTATGTTGTTGCCTTGCAATCTGCAATGGAATTTATTTAAATATTTATTTGATTAAAAGCAATAATTAATAATGAATTCAACTCATTTGCCTTTATGCCCTAACCGTATAAGTTACACACAACCGCCACCCGTGAGCAACTGAAGTGTCAGGTGTGTCAGTTTTCCCTTTTGTTTCCCCCTTTTTTAACCTAATTAATCTGAAATACTTTCTGCAGAGTGCTGGATACTTTTAAAACTGTACCCATAGGTTCAAATTTYAGCAACTTATAAATTTAGATACGTCATTTAAATCCCTTTGGCTAATATTTACCACTAGATAAGGTAGTTATAATCAGTTTAAATGATCCTTTACATCTGTCAAAGTTTGATCTGGATTCAAACAAATCATCAGAAGATAAACTTGGTTCATGCAGCTAAAAGAGCAATTGTTTTACTATTAAATTCTGTAGTTCCTCTATTTGGCCACTAGGTGGGAGCACAGGGACGTGTTCTRCCTCCTGCTGTCTCACTTCTGTCTCCCAGTGTTTCCAGTCCTCTGTGTTTCCCGGTTTGGTCACTTCCTCCCTCCTTTCTCATTTACCTTAATTTCCCTTCTTTCTTTCCCTTGTTTCTGTTGTACATGTTCATTAATTTTTATTATCCTTTTCTCCTCCAATTTTTGTCCCTGTTTTCTCATATCCTTTATTTTTCATTTCTGTCTCTTTCTACAGTTTGCATGCTGTTCTGTTTGTTGCTTCTAAATATTTTATGCATATTGTGTTGTATTAACATTCATTTCCTAAAAAGTTCAGCTCGATTAGGAATATGTCTACTTTTAAGGCTATACTTAAGACTTTCCTTTTTGATAAATCCTAGTTAGGGTTTATTTCCCGAACTTCATTAGTTCTGCTGCTACAGGTTTAGACTGCAGGAGGACAGACTGACCACATTTCCTTACCCTGCTGCTGTCTTTAGACCTGGTTTAGTTTGGTCCTGACCTGAGACCTGGTTTAGTTTGGTCCTGACCCCTGGTTTAGTTTGGTCCTGACACCTGGTTTAGTTTGGTCCTGACCTGAGACCTGGTTTAGTTTGGTCCT